AAGAAATGTGCAACCAGAGTCAACTGGGCTGGCGTGACAAGCAAAGGAGGGGAACTCTAGATGTTAAACAGAAAGGTGTGCTAATAGTGTGAAGAAACAGATGGACAGAAATGGGAAAGTTGACTCGAAGGGGGAAACTCGGGGGAGTGTGAACACTCAGGGGCTGTGTCAGGCTCTCCTAATGCTGGGGCTCCTTGGGGCTCATGGTGTCAGAAAGCTCTCCAAGAGCCACTGGGTGCCTGTCCTTCAGGTCCTCTGACTGCAGTTACCACGACCAAGCGAGCAGAGGTTGCACAGTGCAGGAACAGGCAGTGAACTGTACAGGTGCTCAGTGGTGTTGTGTGCGGTCAGCCAGCATAGCTTAGTGGGATTTGTATGGCGTTATTGAGGAGCAGTCCGAAAAACATCGTACCGACTTCTCTGTTACTGAAAAGATGCTGCACCAGGCAGATACATGTTTGAAAGAAAGCAATTAGGGAAAGCAGCAATTGTAGCACCATCATATACGTATCGATTCATATGTGAATAATGGCATAAGTAACTCTAGCTGTCTTTTGGGAAATTATGCTCCTTTTATATTTTATTAGCTAATAACTTTCTGACAACTGAGTCATCAAATTACTATAAAATAATAGTGAAATATTTTTAACAGTGAATATTTTAGCCCGTGTCTGACAATTATGTACTCACTTGCTTTCATTGGAAAGATTATTTAGGTAAGAACAAGAACATATCCACTAGAAGAAAGAAATACAGGCATGTCTGTCATCCTAGAAGTACCTGAAAGCAAAGGGAAGTATAGGAGAAGGAGAGCTAAAATGGGATAGAGTTAGAAAATAGAGTATTTCAGTAGCATTAGCTGCAGATATTCTACATGTAGATTCTATTCCACATTTTTGTTCTTCATGGCATACAGCAAATCAAAGGAACCAGTTAGTTTTGAAAACATACTATTAACCTCAAAAGCATAGTGACCACTATTGTCAATTATTAGGTACTTGAATAATTGGAAGTTTAGTGGCAGACAAACCAAAAAGGTAAGAAGTAACATATCTAAATATTAATTTTGGCATATGCTTCAGTTTGCTTGTTTTTATTGCACATATTTATTCTTTTTGCTCATACCTATCCCATACAGAAAACCTGTTGCCATCGTTGTTTCTGAAAAGTGGTTCAAGTTCATGGCTAGTTCAAGTTCAGGTTTGGTCATTTGCTTGTATTAAACACTGGCCTTTATTAAGACATTTAAAAAAATGGCTTGCGTCGGTTATTTGTGCATGCTTTGAAATATTCTAGAAAGTAACCATTGTCCTTAGCTTCTAGATGTGTAATTCTTCAGTACACTTCTAAAAAAAATGAAATACTCAGACCACAGGACAAAGAAGAAACTGAGTTTCTGTTCATGGCCCTGCCGCTGAGTCAGCACATGACTTGGAACTGTGTTTTGGCACTCTTCTCGAGTGGTACGGCACGTCAGTCGGCACGGCGTCGTGCCAGTGAGACTGCCTCCCTGGCAAAGAGCTGCCGTGCATGAATAAGCACGAACAAGGACTTTGTCCATTAATGTTTCTGCCCCATGAGCAAAAAGAAGTTTGGGGTTTGATTTGTTTATTTGTTTTCCTTTCCAAAGCATGTTCTGATCTTTTGATGGCAAATACTTTACAAATACTGAATATGATGACATGCTTCACAAGTAAAGCAAGTAAATAAGCTTAGTAATGATAGCCTTGGCCTAGTATGCCATTACTCTGGGCACTGTACCTTCATAACGAAGGACAGCAGTTGCTCTGCAAAACTACAAAATTAAGGGAGGGGAGATCATACAGACATAGCAAAAAGTTTATTCCCAGGAAGGATGGGATTGTACCGGTCAGCCTGAAAAGCACTTGCCTTGACACACTGGTTATCTAACCACCATTGTAGCTGGCAATGCAGAAAAGGACAATTTCAAGGTCAGATGAGGGGAGAGATTAAAATTTAGCTCAGTGAATGTTTTCAGGGGCCTGCTTTCCTTGCATATATAATGTCATTAGCAAAATCCAGGAGAGTCAATAATGTTGTCACAATACACAGGTGGTGAAGAAGTGGTTGGACCTTACACTGTGCCACAAAATACTGCGGCTAATGAAAGTCCAACGCCTTCTGTACCAAGATGAATATTTTGTATTAAAAGGGACTCCTCCATTGGCAGTGTGAGTGGCTGCCTCCTAAGCAGCTGATCATGCTTTCCCTAATCTGTTTCCCTGATGAGCTGCCTGGAGAAGCAGAGCAACAGCAGTCAGCACAAAGCTTTGCCTAGGTCTTTACTCCATTCGTTGTTGCAGTAGTTACTAATGAGTTAGTACAACCAGGTTTTGTGCATCCGAGCAATTACAGTGCCGTTCATGTGGTTTTATATAGCTATTAGGCCACAAGAGGAATGACCTGAACAACTCTTTTCTTTTAATAGGAGTTAATAACTTTTGCATTTCCTTACCACCTCCAGGTGCAGGACATCAGTGAAATTAAACAAAATTGCAGAGCTCCTAAAGGTCTATAGGGAGCTCAAGAAATTGTCCAGTGTTATTCATGGGTCAGTGTTGCTGAAATGGTATGACTTTACAGCCTTTTTGAAAAAATGTATTTATGCTATCTTAAAACTGGAATCTAAGCTTTCTTTTTTTTTTTTTAATGGAAAAGGCCACTGAGTAATTTATATAAATTCACTAAGACAGTTTCAGAGGACTAGTACTGTCTAGGTTCAAAATATAGAAGGATTATTAAAGCCCTGTATTGTGTAAAACTGAAGGGAACTGAAGGAACTGTTCTCCTGTAAAGGACTTTAATAAGAGCCCTAATTGTCTTTTGTTACTTAGCTTGCTGTTGTGCCTGCAGGCCTTCCTAAACTCTTATTGTACAGACACACTATAAAGAGGCATTATAGATCACAGCCTTGGTTGTGACCGGATGAAACAGTTTGGTGAACATCACTGATGGACCGGGGAAAAGAGTAGCAGGGTCTCTTATTGCAGCCTGCATTGGAGCCTGTTTACCCAATAGTTTAATGTTCTTGTCAGAAAGGCTTTCTTTAGCGTGTGTGAACAACTGTATATCTTTAATTTACCTTTCTTTTAAAGGCTGTTTCTTTCATAGGAAGAGGTGGGGGAAGCCATGTGCAAGGAAGGGGGTGGCTGTTCCTTCCCATGGAGCACAGGGGAGCAGCCATCGGGCCACGAGGTGGGAGGGCGGAGGGGAGTGGGGAAAACACAGAGAGGACCTGGAGCTCCCATCCTCAGCTGTGGTGGCCAAAACCATCCTGAGGACCGGGCATCTATGCAGATGTTGCCACAGCTCGGGAAATCTGGGAGTTTGTTGAAATTAAACCTGACAGTAAGGACTCACCTTGCAAGGACACTGTGAGCAAGGGGAGCATGCTTTGTACAGCCTTTGCCTTTCTTTCTTCTGGACTTAGTTACTGGAGGTTGCTCAGTACTGTCTGACTTTCTAAAGTTGAAATGCCTTTTGGTCTTTCTTGGAAAATTCACTTTATGGAAGAGGTTCAGGCACGTCTGCCTCAGAGCTCTAGTGTACTGGATCTGGCTGGGGTGGAGTTGACAACATCTAGATGACTTGGAGTCCCACCGCGACGTGTAGCAAACCAGAAAAGAGAATAACATCTGTGCTAGGGACTCAGAGTTTCTTGCTTAAAACATAGCTAATGCTGAAAAAACCAAAAGCCTGGCATGCAATATGTATACTTTCTAAAAGGCTAAAACAGGTGGATGAGGTCACAATATTCTTTCTTTTTCCCCTTTGCAGAGTTTCTAAAGAATTTGGATGGTTTGTGTGGGGATACCTACTGCTTTTGTGTGGGGGGGTACCACTTGTTTTCACTTCATAACCCTGGTCATGGCTGTCACGCAAGGCAAGGCAACCAGTGAAGCGGTGCTATGAGAGTCAGGGGGTGAAAGCTGAACAACTGCAACAGGAGGAGAATTTTCAGATCTGATGCGTTTAAAGTTATTGGGGGATTTAAATAGTCTTTTTTATTTTAATTAATTCATTTTGTAGTGTTCCAGTGAAGGTCAATGGCTGACTGATGCTTTGGACAAAGGATGCTTTTGTTAGAGACATGTTTTCTCAGACATAAAACCATACCAGTGTTAATATATTTTGAGACGCTGACTGCCCCTTGACCAACATCGCTGGCGCAGGCAGACCGCCGACCCCCTGCCACCCTGCCCCCTGACCGATGTCAGCAGCGTAGGCAGGATGCCGCCCACAGTATCCATGTCAGGTATGATCCTCTCAAATCACACTGCCGTTGCTGGAGCCAAGGGGCGGTGTGACTCTTACCCACATTCAAAAGCCATTGACGTGACTGGTTGTTGCTGCCAGGTGACACAGGCACCAAGTATTCCTGGATGTCCACCAGAGCCACGGCATCACTTATGATGCCATGTTTGCCATCGGTGATCAGATGAGTCGTCGTATGGGTATGCTGTTACTTGTCTTTCCTACTGCCTCAACAAAGCTTTGTTTTATAACGTGTTGTCAGACTGCATCACTGTTCGGACCTCAGACACTCAGCAGATAATCTGGAAAAAAACATAGGGCAGCATATTTGGCATCAGAAACACAGGGAAACATTGTGGTGCCCGATGTGGCTTCTTCTCTCCCCATTTCATTTCCAGCTGCCATGATCTGATCATCTCTGCTGAAGAGCTGTAACCCCTCTTCCTAAATGGTAGCAGTATCAAAAACAGTAGTATTGGGAGCATTCCTCATATTTGCTCTGTGAAGAATCAATAGTTTAAAAATAGAAATGAAGGAAGGAAGGAGAAAGAAAGAACCTTCTGAGACCGGCTTCACCCATAATTTTCAAAAGCCTGGTTTATTTTTAGAATCTTTATTTTCCTGGTGACATTATCACAGGAGTCCTTGCTGATATCTGTAAGTGTGTTTTTATATCATTGTAACTGACTTAACTCTGGTTTTGTTCATCTCCTCTTCTCTCCCAGTGGAGTTTTTATACTGTGATTTGGCTTCCATGAAGTCTATACGGCAATTTGTGCAGCGGTTTAGAGCAAAGAATTGTCCACTCCATGTCCTGGTGAATAATGGTGAGTTCTGTTTTTTTCTTCACATATCTGCAGGGGAAGATGTGACAAATGGGGCTCTTGTCTATCACTTCACATTCCAGATCGATTATCTGAACCATACAGCAGGTTACAATATGGCTGCATTAACAGGGATGTCTTTCTAGGAGTTAAAATGCATTTTTTGGAGAGATTGTCAGCTGAGCAGACTAAACACTTCAGTGCCACCCCTGCTCGTGATGTTATTGCAAGTCTTGTTCCTTTGCTGTGTTTTTTAGCTGTCCAGCACTAAAAATCATGTGACTTCACAAGAATCTGAGCATCCCTAATAAAAAAGAAAAAAAGGAAAGGAAAGCTGTACTTTATGTTTGTAGAAAACCCATCCTTTCACCTTTATTTACTTTCTCTCCCCTTATATTTTCCCTGTATGAACACATGCGTTTACTGTGGCTGCCTGGTGAGCTGGGTTGGGGAGTTAATCCATCTGAAATAAAATCTAGCAACTTATCCAGCGACATCAGAGCAGTCACTGCTTAGATCAAGGTGCTTCTGGAAAGTTGTCCGTAAAGCTGTGTCCTCAGTGGTCAGCAAACAAATTAAAAGGACATTTATCTTACATTCATACAATTACTAAATTGATCTCATTACTCTTAGGGATTTTAACTTCTGTTATTCACATACTTGCCATCTAATTATGTTTTCTAGCCACAGTATTTTTGGAAAGCAGCCTGTACGATAATTTTCCTCCAAAAACCCTGCATGCTCTGTATGTGCTTTCCTAAAGGGGAATTTTCACCTGTCTATTTAACTAGGGGAAAAACCCGCCAGCAACAATTTAGGCTTCTTTTAGAAGTTTCTGCTGTTATATGCTGCTGTTCTTGTTTTCCCAATTATTTGCATGTCTTTTTATTAAGACATCCCAAAGAACATTTTCTGTTTTCCTGTGCACCCTTCAGTCCTAGTGAGGGCAAATGTGCTGTAAATAAATGAGTTTGTTACATTCATTGATGCCTTAAACAGCTCTCAGTAACACAAGCAAATATTGCAATAAAAATTCAAGAGTATTTTATTTCCTGATTGATATGGCACATTAATGAAATGTTCAATTAAATGTTCATTTTTATTTGATTAGTCAAAAAAGCCTACCATTATTATTTTAATTGTGCAATAATTAAAGGTAGTGGATATTTAGTCCTGGTTACAAAATCTTTCCAGTTTTACATGCCTACTTTTAAAGATGCAGAGTGTAAACTGTTACACAGATGGGAACAACAGTATTTGAAAAACACAGCATTTTGTGGAAAAAAGTTTTTGAGATCTATGCACCCATCAGGCATCTCCTGCCCTCCACCGGTTGTCTGCACGAGCAAAGCCAGGACTGTGCATCAGGGGCTTGGGGGCAGCTTGGGGGAGAAATGATGGGTCTGAAGCAACAGCACAGCTGGGAAGCCCTCCTGAATACAGGATTTTGTTCTGCCCTAGCTGCTGCTGAAGCAGGATGAATGAAAATTGCAGTTAAGTATGTCTTCTTAATCAAGAAACAAAGTTATATGAAAATAGATCTCCTAATGTGCCTAATATGATCCAAGACCAGAGTGTAGGCCCAAAGGTTCTTTTAAGAAAGAAGCTTGAGACTAATATTTGCCTGAATCAGTCTATATTTTCGTGACCTGCAAGAAGGGCATTTGATTTCACTTGCACTTGGTTACCAAATACAGTTGGCAAGAGAAATCTGTTGTTTGAGAAAATCCTGTTAGAAACTACAATGAAGTGAATGGTCCAACTCTGCTTTTTGCTGAATCTGTAACAGAATCACAGAAGCGATCACGTCCAAAGCTGCTGTAAAGACTCCTATATAATTAGGTTAGTCTCTGACCATTACCTGGCAAGTCCCCAGCCTCCACTTCTGAAAACTCTTTTCTGCTTTTTTTTTTCCGGTCCTTTTTTTTGCTCTTGTAAATAATCTGTAGCATTTAGTTTTGCTACTAGTTTTGTAGTGAAAGCCCAAGTGATTTCTTGGTGCAGAAGAGGAAAATGAACAGACCTAATGGAGGAGAAATGGCCTGATGTAAAAACCTTTGAACAGCTTCTCTTGGCTTTCCATCAGGGTTGAGCACATCCAAGACAAATGCTGATGTTTGGGCTAACTGGTAGGCCTTTCCTGTTCCCTTTCCCTTCCTCTTTCTTTTTTTTTTTTTTTTTTTTTTTTTTTTTTTCACTTTTTTGCAGTCCAAAAAGGGGAAAGTTTCAGCCCATCTGGGGGGGCGGGG